CGGAGTAGCGGTAGTACCCGAGACGGAGGCGGAGGAAGAAGACGCGACGAGAGCGCCGGGAGAAGGAGAGGAGGAGTCGAGGGGCAGGCGGGAGGCGAACCAACGGCGGCGGCGGCGGCGGCGGCGGCGGGTGGCACCGGAGGTAGCGGGACAGGTAGCAGTGGTAGGCAGGGACAGGGAGCCCCAGGCGGGGGAGGCGCGGCGGCTAGGTGCGAGGAAGAGTACGTGGCCAAGGTGTTCAGCTACTGCCGGCACGGGCGGCTGGCGGAGGTCCAGGAGGCCCTCGGGTCGGGTTTCGACGTGTGCAAGCGGAGGGACGAGAACGGGAACACGCTCCTGCACTGCGCGGCGCAGAACGGGCTCCGCGGCATGTGCAAGTCGGTGCTGCAGGAGGGCAGGGGGCAGCCGCTGAATGTCAAGAACGTGAGTGTTTGTTCTTTTTATTACTCCTACTGGTACAGAGGATGTACTGCTGCAGTAGCGCCGTTTTGTTTTTATGTTTTTTTTGCGGCGAACAATCAGGAGGAGCGGAGATTTGTGTCGGGGACGGTTTTCGGTTGCTGTCCATGGAACAACGTCACTATCTTCACCGCTGCCTGTGCTCAATCATTCACACTTCTACAATTTTTTGTTTCATTTCAAGTCAGCGCTCACAGCACGAGGGCTATTTGCTCCTATTCGTGGTCACACAGAAGAATCCCTCTCAACCCTCCTCTCCTGCGGCACTTTGAGGTTCGTTTTTTATGCGAGAAGAGTTCAGCACTCTCTTCCCTCTGTGTACACACGAACTAGCGCTATCCACTAGGCTAGGAGCGGAAGCGAGAGAAAAATTCACTTTGCAAGAAAAGCTCGCTTACGCCGAGATTCGAACCCCTGACTTGCCCTCTAGAAGGTGTCGAGGAAACAAACTAGACCACCGGGGCGACCGGCACGGAAGTCTTTTTTCGTCCCACAATGAATCCGCGGCGCCATGCAAACGCGTCTTTCACTCCGCCCGACGCGCCTTGCTGCCTGAGTAAGTCGGTGCCCCCCCGTGATTTACGGAAAAATGAAACGATGATTTGTGGGGACCCTTGTTAAAAAATCTTACCCCCCGCCCCGCCCCGCCTCGCCGCTCTTGTCTGCTTGGCATTTTGCTACCACTTGTTGGGGTTTGTTTGGTGTTTTTGGAATCGACTATTTCTGCGAAAAAAAAAACACAAGAACCGCGGCAACACGGCGCTGCACTACGCCTTCGCGTTCGGGTTCCAGCAGCTGGGGAAGTACCTCGCGTCTGAGGGAGCAGACGACACCCTTCTCAACGACCAGGGGTGAGCGGAGTTGGTCAATGCTCGTTGCTTTGTCTTTGGTGCTTCCTCATTTTGATATCGGCGCTCACATACGCAGCATTTGTGCCGTGCAATGGGCGCTCCAATCCGTGGCGGTGACACAGAAGGGTTGCCCCTCCTTCCCACGCATCCTACGGTGGTGTAGAACCTGCGGTGGCGTAGACCTAAGTAGCACACGGCCTGCACTCAAGTCAGTACTAGTATTTACGGCGTTTACGTACGAGGGAAGATCAGTTTGTTTGTTTTTTTCGGAAAACCATGAATGATTATAATAACACAACCAAATTCGAAAATCACGCCCGCTTACATGCAAACACCCCTTATCCTTCTCCGTTCGGTGTGTGAAGGTTGACGTGCTACGAGGGGCTGGAACGTCAAGACCTGGAGTTGTTGTGACTGCGGCGGACACAAGCCAACAGCGGGGGTGGTCCGGTCCGCCCTCAGGACACGCTGTTTTTTTTAAGAATTGAGTGTCCTTAAAGCGGGAGAACCTGCTCTTCCGTGGCATCTACGGTCGAGACCCCTATCGGGGCGGTCGCGTATTCTGTGCTAGCCGGGTAGGGGGGCTCTGTTGTTGCTCCCACAAAACGGTAATCCTGCATGCCTTGTACAAGGCTGTTCGGTTACGCTCACATGCAGGGCTTCGTCTTTTGTCGTTGTTTGCTTGGCGCCAGAACACTTCATTAATTGGCGACGAGATTTTGTTCTTGGAAGAATGAATGCCTCGGCAGAGTTGTGACATGCCCTCCCTTTCGGCGCGTGTTGTATGCTGCGCGTGCATATGCTTTTAGTGGGGATTGCAGTCCTTTGCTCGTCTCTTTTGCCTGATGTATTCGCTTCACGTCCTTGTGTTCCGGCGGTGGTTTCGCGTTTAGACGCACGTGCGGGCTTCCGATCTCGCCTCCGTTTTTCGTCCGTGTCGCCTGCATGATTTTTGGGTTTTGTTTCTGTTGGCTTACCTCTCATGCGTGACGTCAATCAATAACCTGGTATATCATGCATATTTGGAAATACAACATTGCATTGGCATCCATTTTTTTGGTGCGGCCTTCTTTTTTCGGTGAAGAGGCGCTGGGGCGCTCTTGCTTGTTTCGTGTGTGTATTGCGTGTTTGCGTTGAATTGAAATCGACCCCGGTAACCGGCTGGCCAATGAAGAATACGTTAGTCATACGGTATGCGGTTGGCGGTCCAACTGGCGCAGGACGTCGCTAGCGCGTTTCGTGTTTTGTATTACGGAGTGTAGTTGGCCTACGGCGACTTACCGTGCATTGAAAGGAGTGGTTCTAACGCTACACAGCGCCGGGTAGTTTGCCGTAAAACACATGTTCCAGAAGGCTGCAGCCCCCGATCCTGTGGTCCCCCCGCTCAGCTCTTCTCACCTCTCCACGCGCCACCACTGTTGTGGCAAAAATTGCGAGCAGCAGCCGACGTTCGCCATGGTGTGTTGTGAAACCGATATGTTTCGCGACACTCCTGTGGCTCATGTCCTCACGAGAGTGCCTGCCGTCGTTGTGGTGTCTACTGTGATGATGATGATGGCGTGATGTACCCACCGTGTGTGTTTTTTTTATTGTTGGCATCGACCGCGCTAACCGGCTGACCAATTATGTGTGTGTGTGTGTGTGTGTGTGTGTGTGTGTGTGTGTGTGTGTGTGTGTGTGTGTGTGTGTTTTTGTTGTTGTCTCATTTCAGCATTTTGGCGTCGTTCCTCATCCTCCGATTCGTCGGCCTCCGCCGAGGTTTCGTGCCAAGTACACACCTATCTGTTGGCGCCGATCGTTGTAATCTAGAGTCTTGACGTGGTTGCTTTCCGCTGCGGCGGCTGCCGCGTGGTTGCCGCTCCTACCCGTACTGATGGTGGGTCCAGATGCGCCCGATCCGGTCGCGTCATGGCCGTGCTTCTTGTGGCGTGGTGCTCGATTTGGCTGTGCACGGAGCGAGTGGTGTCGGCGTGCGTGCCCGACGTTGTTGTTGGTGGCGGTGGGGAGCGGCGACTAACAGCGTGTGGTTAGGTTACGGGGGGGGCAGAGGTGAGTTGGTTGGTTGTTTGGTTGGCTACCTTCCCTCCTCCTGACGGTGTGCCACGAACATCACATCTATCTGTTGCTTGTTCGGTTTTGTTCAGACGGGGAGAGAGAGTCGGGGGGGGGGAGAGAGACAGAGACGGAGATAATTTGTACCGAGGGGGGACTCGCAGAGTGACGAATTTGTCCGTCGCGTTTCATTTGTGTTCCCGACATGCATGGCGTATATCGCCATCGCCGCGCCGCTGGTTGAACTCGGCCGTTCGCCGTTCGTGCGGCGTGATTTTTGGGAAAGCCTGACGGTGACTGCTGTTGGATGACATAGGAGTCGTGAATGTATAGGTCATATGTCGGCTTTTTTTCTATTTTCGTTTTGTCGACCTCGACTCTGGACACGACTGAAGTGGAGCAGAGCTCAGCTAGCACATGAGAACCCACCTGCGCACGGTCTATACGATGAGTCAAGAGCCACAAACATCTGCGTTCCAAGCGAGAGATAAGAGGCTTGTCTCCGCTTTTTTTTCCTTGGAAGCCGGAGATGTCGAATGACGAGATGTAGCGAGTAGCCACTCATTCCCTCCATGGTGGCCAGGCGAAGCACTAAATGTGTCCTAACCGCGAGTAGGGAGAGAGAGAGAGTGAGAGAGAGTGAGGGAGAGATGTGTACTTGTATGATAGCTGGAATACATGTAAAGTGCGATGAAAGGATACTGCTGTAACTACGAAGACATTTGTTTCCGCTCAGAAGGGACGCCAACACGCGCCGCATGGCTAGCGGCATGATGACCGGGGCACCGGGTGCATCAGTTTAGTGCACCAGCACGCCTTCTAAAAGCTGGGTTGGGGATTCGACCTCCCAGCGAAGGGCGACCCGGCTCGCACCTACCATGGTTGTGAGCTGGAGGGAACACTCTACAGGTGTGACCTTCTCGCGCAAAAAAAATGAGGTTTCGACACACCAAGGATGCAGTCGTATGTGTGATCCCGAAAAGGGCTCTTCCGTTAATTGAAAGGCCGTACAGTAGAAGTGGATCACGCAGGCAAGAGCGACGGCAAATGAATAGGGTGACGAATTACTAGACTATTATTAACCTGCATACCTATCTCCCGAAGAAGTCCCTAGTACGACCTCATCAATGCATGCGGGAATTCACTTTTGCGACCAGCGAACACAAAACATTACTGTAGTTGCTTGCTCACGCGGATTACACCCGTGCATTGATATCAACACCGAGCAAGCAGTGTTCGCAAAGCACACGTGGGACGTCAACGCCAAGGACTCGTGGGGTACAGTGGGGTGGTCGCCCCGATTTACAGCCGCTCGACCAAGCAGCACTGAGCCACAAATACCTACTGCAAATCATCCCGCACCTGCGTAGGTTTCACTCTACAGAAGTTGCTGTCTACCGTTGGTTCACGATGAATGCCGGCGCACCTACTGTGCCCAATGCCACATTCCTCTCACCCATGCACCGTCGTAATCTAGGTATTGAATACGAAAGTTTCGTGGCCGAAAAAGAGAGAAGCTACTCGGTCGGCTAGGCTTCAGCCGCCCTGGCACCTTCTTCCCCCCTGTGTCCGTAGCACGTCATTATGTGACACCAGCACGAGATACAAAACAAAACGCACACGATATGATGATCACTATTATCTCCTTGTCGGGCTCGTCTTCTTTCTCCCTCCACCGCCAACGAGGGACCTTTTGCCCCTCCCCCGGATCCCTCTGTGCCGCCTCCCCGCCGGGGACGGAGACCTTCTCCGTGTGACCCCGCCGACCTTCTTGCCAAAGGCTGGTCCAGTTCCCACCACGTTGCCTCGGCTTCCAAGCGGAGACGAGGATAACAGTAGCGATGGCGGATGATGATGACCCAGGGTGGTGAGGGAGTGCGGCGGCGGGAAGGGAGCGTCGCGGAGCCCTTCCGTGGGGTGAGGGAGGCCGGCGAGGCAGGTCTCGAGGGGACGGTCGGTCGGAATGACCAGGGCGCGACGGAGGGCTTCGCTTGAGACCGAAAGGCCCGCCCTATACATCGGGTAGAGTTTGAGGGG